TATGTGGAGTAGGCCTGCCGATTTATCCATAAAAGATTATCATAAAATAAAACCGCTTTTATGCTCTCTTGGTATGAAAATCCGAGCTCGCCGAGCACATAGACTTGTCTAAAGTACAACGTTTTGTATGGTACAAAGACTTTGCATCGATGCGTAAGACTAGAAAGTCTATAGAGATAAAAAATCAGCTAATAGAATAGAAGGAAAGAATGTATGAAATTGTGTACTGACTATTAATGACTATTGGTTAGGCTTAAGAAGTGGAAGAGAGGGAAGGCAGGAAGAACCGTTGAACAAGAGGAGGGTAGAATAGCTACGAGTATGTTTGAGGCTATCAAACCTCTTATGGCATGTACACGAAATAAACACGAGAGATAGTAGTACATATTAGAATATAAGTCAAAATTAGATAATCGTACACCAGTTTACTTATGTAAGGATGCCACTGCATCCACTTCATTTTCATTAATTAACTTAGTATGACAGGAAGCATGTTGCATAAACTTGAGGCAGCTAACTAAATTATAAGATGTCTCATTACGGTCATAAGACTAAGAATAAGAAATGATTAGGGTTGCTGCCGCCACCTTTTATATTTCTTTAGCTTATTCGTATGCTATATCTGAAGCATGGAATTTTGTCTGATGATCGTTGCATAATAGACAAAAGCTTAGCATGGGTTCATCATAGTCACAAGATTGTGAATCGAGGATTTCTTCGTTCAATTTGACAATCATCCATCCGCGTCATTCCTTCGGTTTCCTCTGAGACAAATTCCAATCAAATTTTATTTCGAACTAGAAAGTCTATTCAAAATGATCTTAGTAGTTATTTGTTATCAAAAGATATTTATATATTTATATATATACGTGAATATTGTTGAGGTTGAGGGTGATCACAGGACTTTTTGCACGCAGATTGTTATATATTATGTCCCAGCTTATCATAATTTTGCTATTAATTGATATCTAATTAGTGAATTTATATTTTTTAATGAGAAATGGAAGGCCTAAAATTTATTAAGCTATGTAATCTAG